ATACTCAATAAATTGTGACTTAGACCCAGAACAAAAAAAACATATGAAATAGCATTGATGCACCCATCTTTCAACTTGATATAAATCTTACATTTTTCCTTTATTGAGATGGTTGAAGCATTCCTGAATTTAATATATGACCGAACAAACTCATCCAATTCGGTGAATATCTCCTTGTGACCACACATGTGATTACTGCAACTTGAATTTATGCTATATTAAATTTTTGATTTTCCATCCACATGTTTCTTCCGTAATTAGTTGGGGAAACCTTTTTGTCATCCTTGGTTATTGAGAAGTATAGTTATAATAACTGGATTAAATTTCAAACCATCAGAATGACTGGGTCAATAGTTAACTGGTTCAATCGGTGCGTCAAATTGTCTGACCAATCGTATAATTTTAAAAAAAATTATAATAATTTAACCAAAAAAAAATATATGAAACATGTTTACATTTTATCATACCATAACCTCTCATGATTAAAATATCATCACCAAAATAAAAACACATCATCCAAATATTATAATCATTATCAAGCCTAAAAACACATCATCCTACAAATAAGTCAAAATTAGACCGATTTAGGGCCCAATTCACCTGTCCAACCGCTGGTTCGGTTCTAATAGCACTGTTGAGAAGCATTAATCATGTAAAATTATAATTATAATTTAAAATAATTCATAAGCAATCCACGTGTGCACCAACTAGTAAATTAAAAAGGTAACATTGTAATCTAATAGTAAATATTCGCTTTCTTTTTTGACAAATTTTTTGGTTGTATTTTTCATATTAACCTCTTAATCTGCTTAAAAACCAATTATAAGTATTTTTAATAGAAATTTGCAACTCAATTTTCTTAAAATGAAGTACATTGAATTTCTACCTTTTTGTTTAATTGAGATTGCAATATAAAAATTTGGATAAATACCATAATTTTGGATTGTAAACTCCTTACCACTTATAAAACACCATCACTTGGATTGTAAAACCAATACATGCCTCATAAATGTGTATGTTTGTGCATACACAAGTTATACATGAATTAATATGCAAGTGGGTACATCTGAACTCAACTTTACTCAATAAAATCTTGTCCCAACAAACGATCAATCGTTTTCAGCTTTCATTATCTATGGATTTTTTGTGGAGCTTCTGCTAGACCTTCAACTACAGTATCTTTTTCTTCTACCCCAGGTTTGCGTTTGCATTTTTCTATTACCCCACAGCCTCTCTGATACTGATTTGCTGGTGGACCTAGACATCGGTTCGGACCGTGTTGGTTGCATGGTAACTTATTGTGCTTAAAAACACCATTATCAGTCATCGTTGCATCCGCAAAACCAACCATGAGTGAGCACATAATGAGTGCCCCAGGCCAAGGGCTATCAATTTTGTAGATGCAGCCATTGACAAACAAGCTTACCAAAAGGTTGCTTATAGAACAAACAAGCAAATTGGTTAACTTGTTCTGTTGATCCCAAGTTACCAGTGGACACCGATGTTAGAATTTATTGGGAGAGTCTCATGCTATATTAAGACAATTATGGTTTTTTTTCCCCAAATTTAGAGAAAAATAGCCATTGGAAAAGAAATAATTTTAAATTTTGAGGTTGAAATCAAAACTGCAAAGTTGTATTGCAACACATGCCAGCCATAGAGTCAAAGAGTTGTGTGGAGATTACTGTTTTTCCGCATTAAAAGAGAAAATAGCCACTGAAAATAAATAGTTTAAATTTAAGGTTGAACTTAAACATTGAAAGTTGTATTGATATACATGTCAAACATGTGTACAACATTGTAGATAGAGTCAACGATTCAAATCGTATTAAACATATTTTCACTCTAGAATCGTATAAAATTAGAAAGTGGCTTACCTTCGATTTATTGGACAGTTAATGTAGGATCTCAAAATATTAAGCACTCAAAATAATTTAATGCACAATAATTAATCAAAGACCAAACAGAAAATAAAGAGAATAAGTGAAGACGAAGGAAGAAGACGACCAAATACTTACAGCAAAGCCAAAAAGCAAATTCTATTCAATCAAGTCTTTACCTTACAAAGCAAACCTATTCTAGTTTATATATATTAACCCTATTGCCAGATTTAAGAAACCCAAGTAGTCTTTTCCAACAAGACAACTCATTCTAATTAATCAATTTCCTATTTAGCCAAGGATTAATTAACAACTAATAATAATAAATTATAATAGCAAAATAATTGCAATAAATAAATAATTAGGTCAAACTCCAACAGCCTCCTTTGATTCAAATTCTTCAATCTTGATTATTCTCATAATTTGCTTCAACTTCACGAACATATCTAATTTGAGTGGCTTGGTAAAAATATCTGTAATATGATCCTTAGATTGATAATATAAAATCTCAATCTCGGCATCAATAACCAAGTCACGAATATAATCACCGTTGACATTAATATATTTGGTCTTCTCATGAAAAATTGGATTTTTTGGAAATGTGATAGTTGACTTATTACTATAGAAAATCTTTGAAAGAATTTTTTGTTCATGCTACAAAAATCCAAACATATGACGTAACCACAATGCCTGAGTAGCACAACTGTTGGCTGCATTGTACTCTACTTCAGTGGTAGAAAGAGCAATAACTTGAAGTTCTAAATTAACTTCTGGTTATTTCCTGTGAAAATAAGATCATAATCATTCATACATCAACGCACAATAATAGTATCTCCCTTGGAATTAATTTTGACATATAAAGTGTGTTCATAGGGACATCTCTAAAAATTATTCTCCACAAGGTGTACCGAGCTCTAAGAGCTTGTTTACACCCATACACAGCCCTTTTCAACATGTAGACTTTGTTTACCTCCCTTTTATTTACATAACTAGCAGGTTGTTCAACATAAACTTCCTCCTCAATGACATTATTCAAAAAATTGATTTCACATCTACTTGAAATATCTTCTAAAAATTATCAGCAACAAGAGAAATAATCATACGAACAGTACCAAGCCTAGCAAAATGAGAAAAAACCGCAAGATAATCAATACTTGACTTTTATTTGTAACCCTTGGCTACTAACCTTGCTTTGAAGCGATTCACATCTCTGTTCGGCTTGTACTTTGTCTTGTATACCCATTTAATTCTAATGGCCTTCTTTTCCTTGGGAAGAAATTTGAAATCATATTTCGAGGGCTATTATAAATAATTTATACATGCATGTAATTATTTTAACAAAAAAAAGCTAAAAAGTTACTTCAAACAGACTTTTTCAACTTTTTATAGAACACTCCAAATGGTTTTGTATAACTTTTTTAATTCTGATTTTTTTTTGCAAAACCTTTCAAGCTGCAGCTTTTCACCAAAAAAAACCAACTATCAAACAGGCACATTAATTACAATAAAAATTTGTCAAAAAAATTCTATTTATTATACTATGTGTTTCAAATATATGTTTAATGTTGCTGATCACAACATCTTATAAACATGAAGGAATTTATTTTTCACAGGAGAACTAAACCTGAACTAGTTTATTTCACCCTCAGTCACCATTTTATATCAATGGGACATATTCTGGAGGTGGTTCATTTGGAATCCTCCCAAACTGACCTTCTTCCTCTTCATATTTGTCCTTGGGGTTGCCTCGACAACGTTCAGTAGCCTCGCAACCTCTATTATTACAATTTGATGGACGTGGCAAGCAAGCTTCAGGGTGCTCGTTGTCATAGGGAAAACCATGTCTTGCGCCTTCTCGAAGAGCACCATAGTTGATAAACTCAACATCTGCTACTTCAATCAATGGTGAGCACACCATTATAATGTCGAGGCATAGAAGGATCGACCCTCGTAAGACAGGCATCGTTAAACAAACAAGCGTTTGTTGTTGATATATATCTAGTATATTCCTTCAACAAGAAACAAGAATCAGGCTAAAGGGAGCTTTAAGATATGTTTTGCATGGTAAGAGAAAGAATTTATTCTAAAATTTTTCTTGTTATTCTTGTAGAAAAGTTCAATGTACGTACTTCTCTTTCTGAACATATTATTAAGACTAAGAAACACGAGGAAAAATTAATGGCATATGGGTTGTCAATCGAGCTAAGAAAAAGATTCAAAGATTGAAAATGCCTGAAATACTAGGTCGACTAAAGGCGATGAAATAGAGGGAAGGTTGAGATTTATCTTGGAATAGATGATCAATAAGCTGTGAGGCCTTCAAGGTTCTGGGCAAAACACAAGCATGTTCCACCATTTGATGGAAGCATATTAACCATCTTAATTGAATAAAAGTATTTAATAACTTTAAATGGAAAATAATCAAATTTTGTAACATTAAGCACTTCTATGAACTTTGTGCATTTATTTTTATATTAATGTTGTTGCTTGAAACCTATAAAGGTTATGTCCCAAATTCAATTCACGGGAAATAGACCGTTGAGTTGCTTCTAGCGAATTGGTGGGGCTGAAGTCCGACTATGGCTCAAGTCGTCTTTAGGAAGCGCTTACAAGTTCTATCGCTCCAGACCTCTCTGGAGGGTTTCCCTCGCAGGTAAAAACTGCTATGGTTACGTACTCTAAGAAATTCCATATTTAGTCACCCTTTATAACATTTTTAATTAGCAGAAAAAAAAATTCAATTGATCATGAGATTCAATTTTTACGAAGTTGGCAGTAACTTTCCATCGTGAACAAGGTACGCAAGCAGTAACTATTCATTGTGCCTCCACAAGCTCCAACCTACTTTCAGCATCAAGAAAAATTATAACACATTTATTGTTGAGAGCTTTTGGGGTGAGTACATTTGACATGGGCTGGTCTCAATGCACTGGGGTTTAAAGCACGTACAATTTCTTAAGCATCTTCGCCTTCATGTCGCTCATGCTCGACGCATACAATCAACTCAAGGACCACCTAATTTGCACCTAATTTGCAGATTAGATATCAACACCATACTTGAACCCACCAGATATGGGATAAGGATGCATAGATCTCACCCTCCCTGCACCCGACAGTGGAGGAAACCTGATGGACTGGGTCAGCCTTTTTACCTAAACCCATCAGACCCAAAGATTTTCTTCATGGTTTCGTCTGTCGTCTTGAAAGTAGTTCACAGAAGCTCATCTGAACAATCTAAACAGTGAAAATTATGATTAATCAATGAAAGAAAGTCCTGCACCAAACTTCAGTAAGGGAATTTTTCTATACAAATATTTGGACATGATGAACAGGGAGAGAATAGAAAGAAAAAATAACGAGAAAGCAGAATTTAACTCCCACAGCAATTTTGCAATACACTTTGTTACAAAACTGGAACCCGAATAAGTTGTCTTGAGACGAAATAATGATAATAGGTCAGTCATCATTATGTCCTTACAGAGTATAAGACAATGGATGCTGCAATCATGCTCGGTGTGTAATCAGGGTAAACTGAAGTAAAAGGCTGCCGTATTGAGTGGTGACAAATTCTTTTCGGACATAGTAATCCAATAACCTTTTCAGCAGCAGTTATCTGTTCTTCTTGGAGGCTTTTGTTGCGTATTAGGTCCCTGCAATGTCATTAGCTTTTAGATATATAGTGCAAAGAACTCACTTTTGAATATCACATATAGCAGACCTATTGAAACTTGGAACATCATTTAAGCAAACTATTGAACACCAATCTTTTTACCATTTCTATTTACAGCTTCCATGGAGATCAAATAATAAAGAGGTTCATAAACCCTCGAAAAAGAAAGAAAGGAGAAGAGAGGGGGGGCGTTGCAGATATCCCTTATATTGACACATATAACAAAGCCTCCCTAAAGCCAGTTTCTTTTTACTTCAAAAAGAATTGAGTTGATTATTAATTGCAAACACAGAGCTATTTATTTTTATTGTAGGTATTGTCATGCAGATAATAAACTGAACTATCAGAGAACAATATCTTGTCTAATTTTAAATTACAAGCACAGGGTCTTACACGAGCAATGGGGCCAACTTCGATGGGGTACAAGCTTGAAAAAGCGATTCAGGGATTATAGCTGAATCCAGAAGAATATTGGGGAGGGAGATATATGATATTCTAGCTTTGCGCCTTATAAACCATTCAGTCAGGAGATTGGCCCGATAGGCAACAACACAAGGTAACTGTGCAAGCTGCAACTCAATAGCTGCTGTGCCAGATGTACACAATGCTACATTGCTAGCCTGCATACCATTGGAACAAAATTTGGTTAGGTCAGGAATCTCAGCAAGAATCACACAAAATTCCACGACCATGGAGAATGTTTGTGGTGAAAGGTAGCAGATGCCATCAGGCTTTCGTCAGACAAGTTCTAATTGCATCCAGGTCTATGCTCTGTTATCTGCCTCAGTTTTGCAGAGCAAACAATTGACAACTAGGATTAGTCAAAATAAAAGGTCCCAAGAGAGGTATCAATATCCTCCATTGTACATAAAAATATTCAAAACAAATGGTCCTTCAGACCATAAATCAGTGTATATATTAAATACATCCAAGTGCAATGGTTCTTTGTCACTGACCTAATGAAGTAAAATTGATCATTTCAACTTCAAAAGATTAATATATATATGATCTCATCAGATTGCGGCCAACATCCAGTTTGTTATAGAGGGTTGCCTTAACAACAACCGGCTAACTATAAATCATCAGAACATATTTCCTTTCTTATTTATTTCTTTGTTTTCTATGGAAATGTGCTCCAAACATAAACAGGGGTAAAAGCACTTAGACTGTTCAGGCTAATTTGTCACAAAGTGCCCCCAATAGTGGTACATTAGCCATGAAAAAATGAGAATGTGGCCTTACACTATATGCATCATACTTCAGCTGTGAAGATCCTCCAGGAATCAATACTACAGATACAGGCCACTCACAAACAGCTTTGCTGACATATTCTTCCACGTGCCGATTAGGTGCCACATGAACTACCGTTGTTAACTCGGAAAATGAGTCTTTCAATAGTTCCATAGTGTCTGAGAAAATGGGAATCATTCGCTCTACCTCCTGTAATCTGCTTCCAGGAAGCAATGAAATGATTGTGGATTCTTCAAGAAAAAAGTGTGAAAATTGTTATTCGGAGTAAAATACAACATCCTGTCAAAAAATGTCAGATTCCAAGTACATGGTGAAGCAGGAGGGAGAAATAAAGTTGCCTGTCTTCATATATTGAAGTATTGAACTATATTGAGTCGCATTACCTGAAGATTTCCCATGTTTACTTCGAAATTCCCCACCATTTCCTTTAACTATCCATCCATTTTCTGTAGCGTCCATTTCCTGAGCGCGAAATCCCTCAAGGAGGTGAGATTTCAACAATTAGATGCACATCAATTTGAAAGCACCAACACCACCATAAACTAGAAATCTATTAGGATGACATAGTGAGGTTGGGAAAAAAAAAAACAAGTTTAGAACCTATGTCTGTACCGACTGTACGGACTGTAACTCCCAAACGTCTTCCAGCATGGGGTGACCCACAAAGGTTGCAGCTAGTCCATGCACTTTGCAAACTTCCTCCTCAAATGGAAGGATACAGAACACGTGGTCTATGAACTCAGATAGCGCTTTGAGTCTTTTTTCACCCCCTTTCCAGGCCCAGAATGATGGTGCAACATAATGGAAGTGTGGAGGAAGGCTAACCAATGCTTGCTGATCATATCTAGCTGCAAAAAGCAATCCCCCATTTTCTTAAGCCATTCTATTTTTAGGACAAGTGCAGAGCAAGCATAGAATCTCAGAAGAAGTAAGTGATGTATTACCCCTACCCCTTAACTGCTTTAGGAATCGGAAGGAAAAACCCTTGGAATCCACTGTCACAACAACATGAGGCTTAAAGAGAAGTGCAGCCTCCATTGTCTGTTTCAAATTAACCTGTCATTGAAAGTGCCAATGCAAGAACAAGGTCCAGACCAGACACATTAATTCGTCAATACTCCATATCTTTAAGTAAAAGATAAAATTATGGCTAAAATGTAACGAATAGGGAGGATAATCACAATGATCTTGATAGGTGGAAGAGCAGGGCACATTTCATTCCTGACTACTCACTCTCAACTTATTCAGATGCGGCAACAACTCCCAGATCCCCATTACTGAAATATCCTCCATGGGGAACAGAGATTTCAATCCTTGGTTGGACATCATCAACCTGAACATACGCAGAAAGAAACATTACCAATGGGAAATACAAAAATAAAATGACAAAAATTGGAGAAAGTATTTGTTAATCAAAACTTTTTCTCTGTTCTTGTTTTATCTCTCTTTTTCGGTAAGTAAATGTGAACCCAAAATTTTTACAAAAGCCCCACGATTGAACAAAAACAAGTGAACATGTAATACTATAAATAAAAACATCATTACATGGAGTATATGCTAAGTTTGGTAGCCAAGAAAGGGTGGTGAAAAATAAAGAAATTAAAATTCAGGAGCTTATAGTATTCAGAAAAGGCATGCTAAACAAGATAAAGCCTCCATGTAGCAACTAGCTTGATATAACCACTTGGCTTAGCTTTTTCTTGAAACTGCTTTGGCTTAAGTCATTCGACTAAGTCGGATCTCATCAAAAGAAAAGAAACTGGTAGTGGCAGAAAGAACAAGCCGTCCCCAGAAATGTTGGGACAAAACATTGATGGGTTGACTACCAATTGACAGAAACAACACCAAAAGAACAAAAGTAACAAGAATTTTAGTCAAATTAAACACATCATAAGAAGAATGCTGAGGAAACAACAACCAAAAACTGTTAACTGGCCTATTTCCAAAGCTCATTTTAGTACTCCCTCTCACAAAAGACCCTATTGGGCTACCACCGGGTTATTTATACTACCTTAGGAAATCACACCATTGTTCCAACAAAGGAATGGACCTTAAAGATCTAATATAATGTACAATCGGTTGTTCTAAAAGGCTTAAAGCTAATTGAGAACAAAATGATTCATGATTTACCCACTTCAACTAAAACAAATACTATCCACATAAATTTTTTTCCTTTTTTCGGAATGTACCCACATAAAAATTAGCTTGCTGATAAACTTAAAAGTGCACATTTTCCTCAAAAACTTGCATATCCTTCATTTTTAAAGCATACCGTCTATGCACAAAGACGTTGAATTGATGGGTACTTCAGCAGAATTGATAGGAAGAAAATAACTTTACCCTCCAACACCGGCGAAGCGTATAGGCAACGGAGATAGCTTCATCAGGGAAGCCATGAGGCGAGATCCGATACTGTCTCCAGAAACCTCACCGGCAACAATAAAAACCCTCAATTCACCATCTTTAGAGGCCATATCCATAACAGGTTGCCTAGAAACAGAGAAATATCTTCTCCAATTCGCCAAGAAGCCCCCATCACTCTTAGTTTTCAAATTCCGAACTGTTCTAAGCATCATCTTCAAAATTTCCCGAGCAACACAAGGACAAGTACCGAAAACTTAGCAGTGGAAGTGGGGGGTTTTCGGGGACTAAGATCGAACTCGTGCGGGGCGCGAGGGCAAGGGTTTCTTATTTTCTGTTTGGATAAATTACACTGACACCCCTCATTGTTTGTAATACTTTTTTTTGTTGGAGAGGGGAGAGAAAAGCGGGGGGGGGGGGGGGGGGGGGGGGGTGTAAATTACATCCAGCACCTGAATTTTGTCATTAAAACACACAGACCCCTCAGTTATAACAAATTCTCTATATGGCTCTCAATGTCATATAACTCAATCAATACACTTTTAAATATTAAACAACTCCATTAATCCACATATACATCATTCTTATTTTTTCTTTATTTCATTTTAATTTTAAATTGTATAATTAAAAAATTATTAAATAAATTATTATTTAAAATATAAAAAAATTGTACGAGTAATATTTAATTTTTAGTATTATAAATTGTCTTTAGAAACGAGATTATTACTAATCAAATAATAAAACATCACATTAGTTGGTGAACCTCGCACACGTACGTGTGGTAATTATTTGATTACAAAAAATGTGATAATTATTAAAATTTGGTGAGTTTCATTGTGCATGCTTAATACTTTATATTGGATAGTGGTTACTAAGTGATATTATTATGATGTTGTATTTACTCAAACCCTAGTCTCTCAAAGTATCTGCTTTTAAAAAAAAATTATTTTTAACTTTGTTTAATTATTAATAAATATTTAAATAAATGTTGAAAACTCATACCCAAACCCAAGGATCGTGATCCATACCCAAACTAAACCCAAAGAATTCAAATTCATCATTGAATCCCCCAACTGTAATGTGATAAATCTAATATGAATGTTATATTTAATTAACTAATATTAACAGAATAAAAAGGGCCAATTACAGCTCATCTAAGAAGGTCAAGGCCGAACTAATAATCAAGCCGTGGGTTTGCCCTTTTTTTTTTTTTTTTTGGTAAAATTGTGTGTAGGTACCTAGGGGAGGATTTTTTTATGAAAGAAGACCTTGAAAAAAATATGTTATAGATAAGTAATGCTAGATTGAAATGTATTGTAGAGAGATACAGTATTTTTATTCTTCTCTTTACTATAATATCATTTCTCTATTTTTATGATCTTTGTATTTTGATAATTGCTTTTTATATGGAGATTTGATTTTATTGATAAGCAACCTCCTAGTCTAGAATATTTTTTTTTTTTTTTGAATTTTAAACATCTAAATCATCCATAAACAACGCAAAATCTAAACAAAACCAACGCCTATTTTAAAGTTGGGGTCATCATCATTTTGTGATGTAACATTATAATGATACGCGACAATGTAATATCTTCATTAGCTCTTTAATCACTCACAAAAAGTTGCGAAATTACTTTCAATCTAAATAGTATGCATCACATAATGTGACATCCATATATACTTTTAATAAATAACAATGTTACATCATAGTATAACAATGTAAAGTGACTAATTTCAGTTAATTAATTGAGAGATTTTAGGATAAAATTTACTGTTAATAGAGGGTAAGAGAATTGTAGAAAAGGTCAATTATATACAAACATAAGGAAGATACATTATAGCTATGTGGGAAAAGTTTTAGAAAAGGGAAAAAAAAGTTGTTTAAAATTTAAATTCATTGTTCCATTAAAATAAGAAACTCTTCATTTTTTTTTTTAGGAATGTGGTTTGTGTATGGTTGAAAACCGAAGGAATTTGAGGAAGTTTTGTTCAATTTTTAAAAAATTGAGTTTTGGGGCCTTGATTAGTAATTGGATTTTGTGGAGATGGTGAATGGAATCTGACAGTTTCCAAAGAAAGACAAACGTCTGTTCAGTTACCTCTGTGAATTTTTTGAGACTAAAAAAAATGAGGATTTTTCCGCAAAACATTTTAACCAAATGACTTTTATGCAAACAAGTTCTTTTTAGGTTCGTTTAGGCTTGACCTGTTCGACATATTAGATTTGTTTATGTGTAAATACTCAGATTTAACTCGATAACTCAATCCATTGGTGATCTTCTGTCAACATGGTGGAAGGTTATAGTACTAAATCGTCGCAAAAATAAATAATCAAAAATTTAAATAAAATTAGAAAAATGTAACATTGTAATCTAATAGTAAATATTCACTACCTTTTTTTGACAAATTTTTTGGTTGTAATTGTCATATTAACCTATTAATTTGCTTAATACCCAATTATAAGAATTTTTTAATAGAAATTTGCTACTCAATTTTCCTAAAATATATTTAATTCTACCTTTTTGTTTGATTGAGATTGCAATATAAAAATTTGGATTGTAAAACGAGTACGTTCCTCATAAATGTGTATGTTTGTGCATACACAAGTTATACATGAATTAATATGTAAGTGGGTACATTTGAATTGAATTCGAATTAACAAAATCTTGTCCCCATGAATGATCAATCGTTTTCAACTTTCCTTATCTATGGATCATCCACCCCAAGACTGCGTTGGCATTTTTCAACGTAGGTGCAACCTCTCTGATACCGATTTGCTGGTAGACCTAAACATCCGTTCAGGCCGTGTTGGTCGCATGGAAAGTTATTGTGATTAATAGCACCATAGCCAATCACCTTTGCATCCGCAAAGGCAACCATGAGTGAACACATAATGAGTGCTCCCAGGCCAAGGGCTATCAATTTTGTGGATGCAGCCATTAACAAACAGGCTTACCAAAAGGTTGCTTATAGAACAAACAAGCAAATTGGTTAACTTGTTATGTTGATGTCAAGTTACCAGGGGACACAGATGCTGGAATTTATTGGGACAGTCTGATCTGTTTCTGGTTTAAAAAAAAAAAACAGTTTTCTGAAAAAAAAAAAACTGTTTTCTGTTTTTCTGGAAAACAGTTTAAAAAAAAACAGTTTTTGTAGTAATCGAAACTCATGCTGGCTTTAAGTGAAACTCATGCAGAATCCCCACAACTCTCTCTCTCAGCCGAAATTGTCTAATAAACAATCCCATCCCAAGTGGATCTCCTCCTTGTTTAGACCGAAAGGCATAACCACTTCTCTTTATTCCCCCGAATCCGATTATATATTCCTTAAAATACTCCCTGATGCTCATAAAATCAGTTTGGAGAAGTTTTTGTAAACACCTTAGCACCCCCACCTATTACGATTATGAACCAATTCAAAACTATGATAGCCACTAATTCTCTTTGATTTAGGAAACCTCCTAAAATAATTCTCTTATTTCTTCTATACATCCAGAATAATTCTTCAAGCCGAATACCCAAGTCCTTTGAAGCTTCCAACTCACCCTGATCAACACCCAATTCCATCGACCTTTTACTGTATAGCTTTATATCCAACGTTATCAACATCAATTAATCCCAAGCATTTCAGAATTCCTTTTCCATCACATAAAATGACAGAATTGTGAATACACTGATCTAAAATAAAACACTCAATAGCATTTAAATCCATGTAATTTCTTATTTGGATTAGAAACTTTGAAACCTTTAGCTTGGGATCTTGTAATCCTTTTGAAGTTCCTTTCCATCAACGCCTCATTCAATTGCTGAGATTGCCTCTCTAATTCAGCTTCCTGTTTCTTCTTAATCTGCTCAGCATAATTAAGTTTAGCAAAGAGGTGTTTGGACTTGGACATAAAAACTTTGAGCTTCTCTTGAGACGGCCAATCACTAGTACCATCTGAAGAATATCCTTTATCAATACAAGCCTCTAAACACAATTCCATATAGCAGTCATCTTTGGAATACACATTATTTGCTTGCAAAGTTTCATGGATCTCCTCCAATGACATAGTGCATCCATGACTAATTAAATATTCATTCCATTCCTGAATGCTTCGTTTGGTACATTAAAAAGTTAGAAGGATAGATAAAACATCATGTTTGGTAAGGATGGAAAATAAGAAGGATGAAAAAGTGGATGGATGAGATTTCCTTCCAACTCACTAAAATCAATCTTTCCAAAATTGGAATGAAAGTTAATTATTTGTGTTAAAATGTATCTTATTTTATTTCTATATAGTTATTTCCCGTGCCTTAATAGAAAAAAAATAGTCAACATATTTGTATTCATACCCAAAATCAAACACAAATATAGAGGAGAGATAAAAAAATTGAAACACCGATTGTAGTGGCGATGAGCTATTGTAGCGGTGGTGGGCGACAGTGGTGATGGTGGGGAGACGATGATAGTTGTGGTGGATAAGGTGACGACCGTGGTGGTGGTGGTAGCAGTGAGTGGCAATGGTGATGGATTTTGAGTGACAATGATGATAGAGACAGTTATGGGCGACAATAGTGGTGGTGGACGACGGTGATGGTGGTTGGCAGTGGCGGTGGTGGGACAATGACAGCGGTGGTGGACGATGATGATGGTGCTGATGGGCGACGATGAGTGCTTCTTGGCGATAGTTTGATGGGTGGTGGTGAATGAGAAACTTATTTGTATTCATATCCAAAATTAAATTACAAACCTAAAAGAGAGATAAATAAATTTAAACACCAATTGTAGTGTGGGTGGGCGATGGTGGACGATAGTGGTGATGATGGGAGACGATGATGGTTGTGGTGGGTAAGGCGACGATAGTGATGGTGGTAGCAGTCGTGAGTGGCAGTGGTGTGGAAGGTTTTGAGTGACAAGGATGATAGTGGTAGTAGTGGGTGACAACGGTGGTGGTGGTGGGGTAACGACGGTGATGGTCGTGTTAGTGGGCTACGATGGGTCTTTCTAGGCGACAGTGTGATGGATGGTGATGAATGGCGATGGTGGTTAGCGTGGTAGGGGTAGATGATAATGGGGTGACTGCAGTGGTCGACAATGACAAATGGTGGTGATAGGTGTGGTGGGGTAGGTGACAGTGGTTGGTGGCGATGGTGGACGACAATGGGTGGTGGTGGGTGTTGATAATGGGCAACTATGGTATTAGGATGATGGTGGTAATGATAATAAATATAAGAATAAAATGACAATGGTGGTAGGTGGTGGCTATAGACGACAATGGTAGAAATCAATGGTGGGTGGCGATGGGACAACAAGGGTGGGGTAAGGGGTGGAAGTGGGGCAGTGGCAATGGTGAGGGTGACGGTGTTGGGTTGGTGATGGTGGTGGTAATTGCGATGGTCATGGGGGTGGTGATGGGGCAATGGGGGTGGTAGTGGGGCAGTGGGGGTGGCAGGGGTGATGGTAGGACAATAATGGTGATAGGAAGGTGCGATAACAATGGTGGTGCGAATGGTAGTGGTGGGGGGGGGGACAGTGGTGCTAGTGGTAGTGATGATGGTAAGGTGGTGGTGGGCAGTGGTGATAGTTGTTATGGTGGTGGTAGGGCAATGGAAATGGTGATGGTGGGTATGGTAAGGTAGCGATAGCAATGGTAGTGGTGGTGGTGGATGTGGGCCGGTTTCAAACATTATTTTTTTTTGTAAAGTATTTATGATAAATAATTTCTAGAAATACTTTAAAAAAATTATTTCAAACAAACTTTTAAAGGTCTATTTTTCCTATTAAATTTGGAATGTTAATATTAGCTGTTAGATTAACTTTAAAGTAAAATTTAAAGTGATCTCAACCACGAATAACAAAATTCATTTTGTTTATCATTTGAATTTTGAATTTTATTGTACTTTATTATATAAATATATCCTTTGATATATACATATATTATGTATACATTAATGTCGTATATAAATACAATAATAAAATATGTATTTATACTTTTATATTTTAAAAATTAAAAATTAAAAATTAAAAAAATATTTTTTTTATCTTATCAAGCACAAAAAAAATTAATTATTTTTATTTTCTATCTATCCTACTAAATATGAAGGAAAAAAAGTGTATCATTCCTGTTTTTCTTCTTTGAATGATAGAAAATGTACTCTTTCTACTTTCCATCAATTCTACCAAACGGAGCATAATGGAATTTAAAGTTAATTAGTCATTGACCTCCTCCATCCTTGGCAAGACAACCACTAGCTAAAAAGGCTGAGGATTAGCCCTCAAACAACTAATCTCAATTGAACATATATTGAAAAAACAAGCTTCATTCCCATTAGAACATTCTAAATCCAAATGTTATTAATCTATAACTTGAACTGGATCTTCCTCTGATGAATCATAAAGGATCTCCTCCTAATCTTCATATCCACTTTCTAATGGTATCTTTGGTAGAAATGATAGAAAATAGGAGGGATTGAAAATATGAGAAATTGAACTTTCCATTCTTAGAGAAAATAAATATGTTTTCCCTCATTCTAGTTTGGTAAGAAGAATGAAAAAGTAAGATAGATAAATTTTTTATTATTTTATTTAGAATAAAAAATAAAATAAATAATAAATAATATGTTAAATATCATAAATGTCCTATTAAATGTGAACCCACATTATTTTCTTTGTCGAGTGAAAGAAGTAAAAAAAGGTGGATCCCACGTGTTTTCTATTTTTCTAAAAGAGTAAGACAACAACCATTTGGAGGGCATAAAGGTAATTTAACAAATGCAATCATTTTGTCCAACGTTTCTCTCCCCTTTTCCGTCTAAATTTGGGCGGATTAAATTTGGTGGGCGTGAGGTATAGGCTTTCCTTCCTCTTTTCTTTCCTCTTCATTTTCCTTCTTCAACCAAACAAAGGAAAATATCACATTCCCTCTTATTTTTCATCCACCCTTTTTCCATCCATCCATTTTCCTTCCTACCAAACAGACTATTTAGGTTAAAAGAAACCTTTTTAGAGTCTTGCTTGACTATCAAATCTGTCTCCTTCCTAACTATAAGCTTCTACAGTATTCTCTCTACTGAATTTATTTGCACCTCTTGATCTTTTTTCTACACCATCCAAAGCTATAGCCCGATCATTTAAGTTGACATTCTGAGATGTTTGTGAAAGGTAAGTGAGCAGAAATCTCACCCTCTTCCAGATTTGCATGAAAAAAAATTGAAGATTAGTTGCCCTTTACACCAAAAGTCTCCCCCTTTTCCTATTGTAACTCTTTCGAAGAATCTTTACCTTATTCAGGCTTCTGTTGCTTCTTTACCCCACCATCATCATCTCCTGGTTGAATTGGTCTCTTCTTTTCACAATCTATCTCCTCATGACCTTGTTTAAAACAAACACAACAATTCTTCCTTTCCTTCTCATAAATAGGGGAGCAGATCCTCTGCTGTTGGGAGAAAACCGCATGACATGCGGTTAAGTGGAACGGTACAGTTTCACTTGTTTTTTGTAATTTTTTTTGTTCACCCTTACCAAAACGACGTCGTTTTGGTTCTTCAAATTCCAGATCTGCAGTCTCCCTCTTTCCCCCACTTTTTACTTCTCCCGCCTTCTTCTTCCTCAACTCAATCGAACTGAGCATAATGAAAACTTGAAGCATAACATAATGAAAATTTGATCGGCTGCCTCTTAGATCTCCTCTTGGTCAGAACACGCTATGCATTTTCTAATCATGGCTCCATTATGGCATTTACTCGATGCATCATAAAATTTCATGGGCTTCTAATGAGTTTGTTCAGCTGAATCATTGAACTCCAGGAGTAACCTAAGTTATCATTTCTTTTTTCTTTTTCTTCTTCAAATATTGTGTCGATTGCATTCTTGTGTAACCCACAATTGTTGATATATGAAAATTTGTTGTAACAGATCATTGTTCGGCATACTATTCTTTTTGGCTCAAGTTGTTGTTTAAGTATGTCATGGTTTTTAGAATAATTATCAAATTGCATTCACATATCAAATGTGGATTTGATAATTCTTTTTTTGGTTTTTGTTAGAAGAAAAACTTTTATTGATTTGTATCCTGGAAATCAAAATGAGGAACAAGTAGAATCTGTTTCCAATCTAAATAAGAGTTCCAAAAATTATTTTCTTCATGTCTATTGTTCAATAATGACGCTTATATAAGCTTCTATATTGGTATGTACGGTTTCGGTTATTTATCTTGGAAATAATTTATGTCTCACTTTAATTTTAATTTTACTCATAGGATACAATGATGGATGATTTGGGAGTTAATGCGACTGATAATATACCTCATATTGGTATGCAATATGATGCGGAGGAAGATGCTTATGCGTTTTACAATAGTTATGGAGGGTCTGTGGGATTTAGCGTGAAAAAAGATTATCAAAATAAAAGCTTGAAAGATGACATTGTCATTTACAGAAAATATGTTTGTTGTAAACAAGGTCATAGGAGTCGTGATAAAAGAGAGGGTCAAATAAGGAAGCCTCGAGCAGAGGCAAGAATAAATTGCCAAGCTCATATGTGCATATCTCTTAATAGAGAAATTGGTAAATTTGTTGTGGTGAAGTAGGACGACAACCACAACCATCATTTGCACCTTGCTGAATGTATGCATATGATGTCATCCCAACGGAAGATTACCGAATCACAAGACATTAATATTGATATGACAATGGATTGTGAATTGTCACTTAAGGCTTTCTATGAACTTTTAAGTACTCAGTCTGGAGGAAAGGAAAGTCTTGGTTTTACTCGTCTTGACCAAAAGAATTACCTCTATGAAAGGAGGCAACGAGAGTTGAGGTATGGTGAGGCGGATAGTTTGTTGAAATATTTTCAAACGGAAGCAGTGAAAAATTCATCATTCTATTATGGAGTGCAATTGGATGCGAAGGAGCATATTACTAATATTTTTTGGGCCAACCCAGTGATGATTATTGACTATGACAACTTTGGAGATGTTGTCTCATTTGACACTACTTTTAGAACGAACAAGGAGTATCGACCATTTGCTTGTTTTACTGGCTTCAATCATTTCAGGGAGACAGTCTTATTTGGAGCTACATTATTATATGATGAAACGACAACATCATTTTAGTGGTTGTTTGAGACATTCCTACAAGCTAGGTCTGGGAAATATCCTATTACCATCTTCACCGACCAAGTTCAAGCGATCGCTAAGGCGATTTCTATAATTATGTCAGAGACATACCATGGGTTATGTACTTGGCACCTTTGCCAAAATGCTTTGAAACATTTGGGAAACATATATAAGGATAGTTCACATTTTCCTACTCGATTTAAAGAGTGTGTATAAATATGAAGAATAACATGAATTACTTGAGGCTTGAGAATCGTTTCTTGCAGAGTATAATTTGCATGATAATATGTGGATGAAAGCCACTTGGGCATTGCGAGAGAAATGAGGGCATGTGTATATGAAGAGGACTTTTACTGTAGGAATGAGAAGCACCCAATTGAGTAAGAGCTTGAATGCAGCCTTACAGAAGTACTTAAAGTCAGACCATGACATTGTTTAGTTCTTTGACATTTTGAAAGAGTTGTGAATGATAAGCGATATAAAGAGTCAAACTTAGAGTACCAAGCTAGGAAAAAATTATCCAGATTGAAGTTAAAAAGAGCTCCAACGTTAGTGCAAACTGGGCAAGTGTACACTCCTACTATGTTTGAGTTGTTCCAAGAGGAGTATGATATCTTTCGGTGTGCTATTGCAATACCATGTGATGTGTTGGATGGATGACATCAATTTGTGATTCGATTATATGATGAACATAGAGAGTATTTGGTCTTGGTTAAGGCTAATGAGGAGATAGTTAATTATAGTTGTTGAATATTTGATATGGAGGGAATATTATGTGGCCATGCACTTAAAGTCCTGGATATGATGAATATTAAGCAAATTCCCGAGCAATACATATGTAAGAAATGGAGACGAGATGCAAGAAAGAGTTGTAGGCCAGCCCCCATTTTAATGTTAAATGAAGAAAATCCAAAGTTAATGGTGGCGTCACGTTACAGGCAGCTTTGTCCTAGGATGGTACAATTAGCTACTCGATGCTCTGATCTTCAACCTGCATATGAATTGGTGTCACGTGGTGTTGAGGAATTGTTCAAACAAGTGGATAGTATGTATGTATCAATTGGCGATGGTGGCGATGATTCAATCCATGAAAATGTTGACCCAATCCATGAAAATGTTGATTTAAGTGGAATAGAAAATGTTGACCCAAACCTTCTCCAAGTTAAAGGTTTAAAAAGAAAAGAAGGTGGTTACAAGGGTTGGGATCGACTAAAATCTTGGCATGAGAAAGCAGCAAAGAGAAAAAAAGGAACTTCCTAACCATTACATATTGTAGATTTTTTTAATTCACTTTATATTTTTATTCACTTCATATTTTTATTCTCTTCATATTTTTATAAATATAATTATAAGTATTTTTTTATTCCAGGTACAAGGTTTCAGTCACCCGTGTATTTCAGCATATGGTCAATTGATGTCTTCTCAAGCTTCAAAGAGTGTACAAAATGTTATGGTATGTTACCTTATTGTTAATTTTATTATTTCACATATTTATCAAGTTTCTTTGTCTGATCCTTCTCATTAATATAGGGTATTCTGACTGATTCAACACATGTGCATTCTTTAAACGATGCTGAATCGTTCTTCAAACTGAACAGGCTTAAGCTTTACTGATCATTAAACTTTACTGTTGTAGATGATCAGTAAAACTCCAAGAAGCAATTTATTGAATGCTAACATATTGAGGAAAATTAACATATTAAAGCAGGCTTTGAAAAGAATTAACCTAAAAAATTCCAAGCTCATGATATATTCAAGTTCATGTATACCTTCAGGAAATCAATTTCATTTCTATTACACGAAACCATACATCACCACACTGGCCAAAACCTTGTCTACTGAGTAGACAACTGTGAAGCAAAGTTATACTGTACAATTCTAAAAGCCATGTTTTGGTTCACCATAAAGAAGACAAAAGATGAGGCACTACCTTGTCCTAGCAGGGATATTCAAAGAATTTACTAGCAACTTTAATATCAGACCTAGCAAATCTCAAGCAGAATTTATAGCTCAAAATCACATCTTTAAAATTTTAACTAAAAATTTCGGAATTCCACAATGGAACTTGGAGTACAACAACAACAAGCCGTAAAATAAACCACAATTTTTTACCAAGAAAGCACCCATAAATTATTTGAAGAAAGCACCAAGAAACCACAATTTCATTACCAAACAACATTCACAAATATTTGAAAAAACCAAAGAAAAATAAAATACATGGGTTTTTTTGTGTGAATAAGAATCTAAGGTTAAGCTTTTGTGTGAAAAATTTTTACCTGATCGTTTGAGATGGGAGCAGCGATTGGTAACCTCCTTAGTCTGATTAATGGGAGCAGCGATCGACGAAGACGAAGGTAGGCAGCAAGAGGAAAGAGAAGGGATTTCAGACTAAGGAAGCAGCAAGGGATTTCAGATGTGGGGGAGTAGAACCAAAAACGACGTCGTTTTTGGTTAGGGCTGTTAAAAAAAAATTATAAAAAGCATACAAAAATGGTGCAGTTCCACTTAACCGCATGTCATGCGGTTTTCTCCCAACAGCAGAGGATCTGCTCCCGAGACTTTCTGCCAACGACTTTAACACCTCCCATCTCTAACCAAATATGATCTGGGTTTTCTTTTAATAAATTAATCAAGACACAAGCACGAGATACACTTGGCCTTGAGAAATTCACCGTTGGACCATCAATTGCTACAACCTTACCTATAGGACTTAACAAATCCTCCAAAAACCTTCTTGGAAATAGATGTAGAGTAACCCCAGAAGATTCACCCACATAGGCATACAAGTGGGTACAACCCCAGATTCAAAATCTGGAAACCACTTAAAGAAACGAAACAAATGGCCATCAATGTAAACTATATCCTTCAACAGTAATTGATAAAATCATCATAGTGTTTGAATCTTAATAAAACATTTCTTGAATCCAAGTTTCTCACTGAAAATTCCCCTTTCATAGACAACTTAGAAGCGATGAAATCCTTTATAAAATTTAGGGATGGCCGACCATAAGAACACTTACCTATGATAGCCAACTCCAATGGCTTGAAAGCATCATTCATTTCATCTTTGGTCCAAATAACAGTGGTGTCACACCATTGTTAATCACCACCCTTTTTGGTGGCTTTTGCACTACAGCAATTGGTTTTTATTGGTGATTTATCACATTTGTGGGTGTTTTTACTAAATTGATAAATATTTTTATCACTATTGTAGTAACTATTTTTACTATTTTTTTGGTACCACAACAGTGGTAAAAGCACTTACAAATATGATAAAAGCAACCATAAATGTGATAAATGTAGATACGATATCGGGAAAAAAAATTTGTAACGTAGTCAACTCCGAATTTATAGGGAGACTTTTATCCTATATTAAGACAATTAGTGTTTTTCCAAATTAAGAAAAACCGCCATTTCAAATGAACAGCTTAAATTGTGATCGAGTAAAACCGTGTTAAACTTGTTGTTCACACTCTGAAATTAGGCATTCAAAATGGCCAAGCTTGGAAAAACAAAATTA